CTGCCCACTGCTATCTCACCTGCCAGCAAGTAAATCCATGAGATATGGGTTCTACTGGCATAGCAGAGGATCTCTCCCCGCTACCACCACCCAAAACGTGGCTGTGGGGAGACATATTGAATCACAGCCATGGGGCCAAGATGGTGGTGAAATTAACCTCATCCCTGTGCTGTGTCCCCAACGGAAAATACTGGTGGAAACCACAGTGTTTCCAAATGTCTTGCTGCCATGTGTTGCACTGGACCAAGCTCCTCACACTTCCCCTTTCCACTTAGTAAGAACCAGTGACCCCCTGTTGGAAAGCCAAGAGACTTACAGTGTCCCACCAGTGCCACCTCACTGCCACTGTTAGAGCAGGATGCAGCACTGACCTGATCCACAAGGAGTCTCCTTGAGTTCTTTTACTGTTGCCCTTCAGGTGGCGAATTTTTCCACTGTGCCTACTGTAGACAGAGAGGGGTTAGATAGGCACGTACTAGTTGTTGTGTGGACTGTGGGGCAACTGCTGCGCTGGGAAAGGCCTGCGCTGATGCTGCCTTCATCTCAGCATTACTTGTGCCATTTCATCTCCCAAACCTTGTCCTGCCCCTTTTGGCACTGTTGAGGGCTCCTCGGTTTGGATCCACCATGCAGGCCCCTCCCTTGGCTTCCACAATGCCCCTTCCTTTCTTCCTTTACCAACAGCACCTGCTTATCACAGTCACCAGCGCTGGCCTGAGACATTTAGGACTATTTATTGAGCATCCGTCTCAATTTGCTTGCACAAAGCTTTTGCAGTGGTTAGATAATATCCTGCCTTTATGAAGCACTTGTTCTGATGTGCATACAACAATGAGCATTCATCTGACATTCATCCTGATTTACTTGTGGGGTATTTTTACATCTTCCTGTTATTCATTCATTTCACACTTTTCAATGTGTCTGCCCATCACTTTCCTAATTGCAAAAAAGTAGATTTCGTCTTAGAGTGGATTTGTTGTGCTGGGGCGATGGAGTACTTTAATCTACTTTAATTGCGCAAACCAAATTTTCCCGGTATGCACTCGAATCTCTCCTGCAAAATAATGGCCATCTGGAGTTGCCTGAAGCCGAGGAGCCCTGGCTAAGGCATCAAAAAGTCCTGCTGCCAGACACCAGAGTTTTGCCATCATCTAGTCCCACCACTGTGATGCCAGATGAAAGCAGGTCACTTCACCTGGCTGCGTGCCAGGTCCAGTTCTGCATACCCTCCAAGTGTCCCTGTTTTCCAGGGATAGTCCTGGATTAAAGAAGCTGTCCCAATTTCTAATTTGATTCCTTAGGAGATTCCTATTTTCATTGGAGAAACATTGGAGGCTATGGAGTTACGCAACCCAGTGGTGGAGCAAGCCGATTGGGCACCTGGGGTGGTGCCCAGGGGCGGGGCCAGCTGGGGCAGGATAATCCGCAGGGCCTCCGAGGAGTCTGCCTGCCTCCTACCACTCAGCCGCCCTACATCTGAGGGGGAGGCAGCGGGCGGACCGTTTAGGGCAGTGCAGGCTGCGGGCACTCAAGCCACCGTGTCACTCCCAGAGAGACACATGGCGCGGGCATGCTGCAGATCCCACAGTGAGTGCCTCCCGGCATTTTGTCACCCCTCCAGTGGTGACACCTGGGGCAGCCCACCCCCAATGCATCCTCTTTCTCCGCCCTGATGCAACCCCCTGAGCCAAGGATATAAGTCACCATACATCCTTTAGAAGATATCTGAAGGCAGCCATGTATAGAAGAAGAAGAAGAAGAAGAAGAAGAAGAAGAAGAAGAAGAAGAAGAAGAAGAAGAAGAGGAGGAGGAGGAGGAGGAGGAGTTTGGATTTGAAATCCCACTTTATCACTACCCTAAGGAGTCTCAAAGTGGCTAACAATCTCCTTTCCCTTCCTCCCCCACAACAAACACTCTGTGAGGTGAGTGAGGCTGAGAGACTCTTAACCACTACACCTGACTGGCTCTCAGGGAAGTTGTATAGGGAAGCTTTTTAATGTTTGATGTTTTGTTTTTATATATGTTGGAAGCCACCCAGGGTGGCTGGGGCAACCCAGTCAGATGAACAGGATATAAATATTATTGATGTTGTTGTTGTTGTTGAATAGGACATCTCTACTTCCGTCTGAGAAATGTTGGAGGGTAGGGTCCTGCAGTTTGCACCCTCCCCAGTGATTTCATAAAACAGCTCTCTGCCCTGGCCCCACTGAAACCCCTTGCTCTTTCCCACAACCCCATGAAAATCCAGTCAAGAATTCACCTGCAGTAGAGTCTCTTCCCTTCATCATACCAGATTCAGCTGACTCTCCCTTCACACCTCAGGCTGGTCCTGGTTCTGTCTTAAAAGCAAAAGCAAAAATTGTCCATGCACTAACTCCGAGAGCTGTGTTTTGTGATATACCGCCAGGGTCACTTCAACAAGACCCCTAAAACTTATTTCATTTGGAAGCTGTCAGGGCTTTGCCAACGTGCCACTGTGCTGTTCCCAACAAAATACAGGCCCCTAATTAAGCTTCCTCTGCCAGGCTCTTCCCCAGACCCCAAAGGCGCTGCTCAGAATACAGAGTGCTTTGCAAAGAGGCGACTAATTTTGCACAATCGGCACACATGCCCACAAAAAGAGGCAAAATTTATGGCCCCGCCAAAGGAGAAATGCTGCCGAGCGGAGCTATAAAATCCAGGGATCCTAGGCCCTTCTATTACCACTGGGTGTCACAGGCAGTGACGGATGGCAAAAAACTGAGATTGCAAACCAAATCGCTTTCGCTTTGCACAAAACAAACTCGGCAGAGAGCGGCAGAGATCCGCAGGCTGCAAAGGCAGGCCACCTGGGGGCTGTATGGCGCACCTGGGCTTTGCAAGAGTCACTGTGCACAACGGCTTTGCTAGGCAGCAACAGGCTTTTATTGGGAGAATATTCTTTTAGAAAGTGCAGTTGGAAGAGATGTTTGTGAGTATTACTCTCACCTGTCAAGGCAGCCCTGGGAAGTCACATCATGGAGGATAGGGCTATCTCATATGTTGTCGTTTAGTCGTGTCCGACTCTTCGTGACCCCATGGACCAGAGCACACCAGGCACTTCTGTCTTCCACTGCCTCCCGCAGTTTGGTCAAACTCATGCTGGTAGCTTCGAGAACACTATCCAACCATCTTGTCCTCTGTCGTCCCCTTCTCCTTGTGCCCTCCATCTTTCCCAACATCAGGGTCTTTTCCAGGGAGTCTTCTCTTCTCATGAGGTGGCCAAAGTATTGGAGCCTCAGCTTCAGGATCTGTCCCTCCAGTGAGCCCTGGAACTTTGGCATGGGAAGCTCCCCGCCTCCCCTCCCTCAATAAATTTGATAAATAACAATTTAATGAATCATAATAAATAATAGTGATTTAGTCTTATCCTAAAGTATTCTACCCAGTGCTTTTCTTCTTCAAGAAAATGTTTAGGGGTACTCTCATTTTCCTACTCATATTAAAACACTGCCCCTCAATGAGGCCAAACTTAGATTCACAAAATGTTTAGGGGTATGTGTACTGCTGCTTCCCCCCAGAAAAAAGCACTGATTCTACCACATAAACACCATTGGTCTCCACAGTGCCCTCATTCCAAGAAAGCCAACCCCATGCGCTGGAACTTCTCACTGCTTAGAGATGGGATATACAGAATGTAGCAATACTGATAACAGAACGAGCAAACAAAATGGAACTCCTTCCAGTTTCCCTCTGTAACTCTGTCTATCTTCCTTCAGCCGGGTGAGGTGCACAGCGCTTGTGGCACTGTGGTCTAAATCGCTGAGCTTCTTGGGCTTGTCGATTAGAAGGTCGGCAGTTCGAATCCACACGACTGAGTGAGCTCCCATTGCTCTGTCCCAGCTCCTGCCAACCTAGCAGTTCAAAAGCACGCCAGTGCAAGTAGATAAATAGGTACCACTGCGGTGGGATTTCCATGCGCTCTGGCTTCCATCACAGTGTTCCGTTGAGTCATACTGGCCACATGACCCGGAAAGCTGTCTGTGGATAAACACCAGCTCCCTTAGCCTGAAAGCGAGATGAGTGCTGCAACCCCATAGTCATCTTTAACTGGACTTAACTCTCCAGGGGTCCTTTACCTTTTACCTTACCAAAGAGTTTTCAGTCAAGTTGTGCAGGGGGCTTTGAAGCCCAGCTTGTCAATAATACATTGGGAGTCCTCTCACTTACCTCTTTGGTTTGTCCTTTTATCATAATGGACAGATCGATGCCCAGCAGAAAGAAGCGTTGGTGCAGGTTGGTAGAGGGCCCTTAGGGCATTACAAAGGGGAGGAAGGAAAAGACTCCCCATTTGCCTGAGAAGCAACAGAACGGAGGGAGCAAGAAAAGGAGGAGGGGAGGAGGAGGGAGCTTATCCCAGAATGTGATTCTGCGACACACTCTATCAGCTCCACATCTGTTCCTTGATTGAATGTGTTATACCACTCGCTGCCTGGCACCCGTTGTCTCCAGCACCTTGATTGCATCGGCGGAGGGAGAATCAAACAGCACAGATGAGCAGGGCCCTATCGATCACCACTTCTCGCATCCCAGACAGCTGCTGAGAAATTGCCATTTATTTCCCAACCACAGCATTTGGGGAAGTGGGAGCAGGGGAGAGGCAAGCTGTGGGGTGCCTCAGTGGGGAGCGCATGTGATAGGCAGGGAGGCCTTCTGCCTCTTCCTGCTTACGGACTGGATGCTCAAGTAGCGATCCAAGAAGCGAGAAAGCAAGTGAACTAGCACCTGATCCCCTTCACCCCCGTTGTCTGTCTGTGAGCGAGGAAGCCTTCTGCGTTCTTTGTACAAATGCCAAGACTATTTTCAGATACCGCGTTTGCCCTCCTGGCAGAGCAGTGGCAAATCACTCCCTGATGTTCGAGCAGCAGCATTCGTTTATTCTCGGAAGTTGCTCCGACGTAGTTTTAATATGATGTTAGAACTAGGGCAAGTCACACAAGATGTGTTGTGCTTACAATAAACAGCCAGAAAGGGAGTGTGTACAGGTGACTCAGTGGTAGAACATCTGATTTCCATGCAGGAGGTTGCAGGTTCAATCCCTGGCATCTTGAGGCAGGGCTGGGAATGTCCCCTGCCTGAAATCCTGGAGAACTGAGGTCAGCCAGCACAGATAATACTGAGCTAGATGGACCAATTGTCTTAGTACAAGGCAAGTTGCTCTTGGTGGTTACCATATGCTTTTATCCTTCCAGACACGGTAAGGAACATTGAACCTTAGCAGTACCTTTGTCCTTATGAGTCCATGGCTCCCTGGGCCAATTACATTCTTTCTTTCTGTGGCTCCCATGTGGGGAAAGGTGCTCCAGGTCTCAGGAGCTCAGTTATGTCACCCCTTGCCTGCTGAGCCATAGATTAAGAGCAGAGGTCAAGAAACTTTTTCAGCAGGGGGCCGGTCCACCGTCCCTCAGACCATGTGGTGGGCCGGACAATATTTTGAGGGGGGGGAATGAATGAATTCCTATGCCCCACAAATAACCCAGAGATGCATTTTAAATAAAAGCACACATTCTACTCATGTAAAGACACCAGGCAGACCCCACAAATAACCCAGAGATGCATTTTAAATAAAAGCACACATTCCACTCATGTAAAAACACCAGGCAGACCCCACAAATAACCCAGAGATGCATTTTAAATAAAAGGACACATTCAACTCATGTAAAAACACACTGATTCCCGGACCATCCGTGGGCCAGATTTAGAAGGCGATTGGGCCACATCCAGCCCCCGGGCCTTAGTTTGCCTACCCATGATTAAGAGTCTCATTCTCTTCTGACTGAGCTATCTTGGTGAGTTGCAAACCGCCAGACCTTTACCCTTTCTGTGGGCACACTCCCTAGTGAAGGGAAGAGAGAGCGTGAGGAAGGAAGTCTGTATTATCTCTTCCTTCTGAGTACTATTGGAAGTTGGTTTCACTTCTGTGTGTGTCGCAGTTCTGCACTGGTGTTCAGAGAGCACAGACGTACTGATGGAGTCTTTGTATATAAGACTGTAAATAAAGTCATTTTAGAACTACGACTGAGTCTTTCTTCTGCTATGATATACCAGAAGACTGGCGTGCTCTTTTCAGGAGAGAAGGCTACTCTGGACTGAAGAGGATTTACAGCCAGAGAGGGCCACTGGGGAACGCTCCGGAGACTTGGGAAGTTTGCAGCCTTCCCAGGGCGTTTTTCCAACAAAACTAACGCAGAAGTAGGCAATGTGGTGCCCTCCAGTTGTTGCTGGACTCCAATTCCCATCAGCCCCAGCCAGCATAGCCTGTGGTCAGGGATGATGGGTGTTGTAGTCCAGTAACATCCAGAGCACCACACTGACCATCCCTGCATGGATGCATAGATAGGAAGATGTTGTTTCAGGAAATGAGTAGGGGGAGCCCAAGCATTGCTTGCTTGGTGGAAAAGCAATCTGGGGATATGAAGCACCCTGTGGTTTGAAGAGTGCAGCCCAGAATGCCTTCAGAGAGTGCTGCAAGACAGGTGTCTGATCATGCAATGGAGCAACTGCAGGGAGCAAAGGGGAGAAAAAATGCCTTGGGCTGGTCCTGGAGTCAAGCATTTCCCAAGCTAAAAGTCAGGGATCCGTAAATAGTTGGAAGCATGACAAATGAAGAAACAACCTCATGAGATAGCAGTTCTACATACAGTGAAGAGGTGTTGTTTTGTAAATTTGCAGTAATTCATTCACATTTTCCAATCAGTTCTCCTGAGATTTGGTGACATTTTCAAGAGGCACTTTTCAATAACGGGCTAATGCAAATACAGATGCCTTGTCTGGGCTTTCCACTCCCATGACTGCAAATCACACCCTTCATAGCCTGGTGAGAATGCCGAAGGCACATATATGCTGCAGAATACTAACCTGGAAACTGTATTGGGAGATTTATAGACACTGACTTTGGAAAAGGTTAGATTTCACTGGACCCGCAGAACTCATACCAAAGTCTGGTTATTTCTGTGGTTTGGCAGAATATTTAGAGATTAGGGTCTAAAGCCATTAATCCAATGTCCAACAGAACATTAAAAATGTGTTGTTTAGGGGCACCCAATGCACCCTGATCAACTTTCTGGACAGAAGGGGGAACATCTGTCCTGGGATTAAAATCTCCACTCAGACATAATTGTGGCATTTTGTCCACATACTCATGTCACACCAACATGCCTGAATTATCACCCTGTAAGTTAAAAACTAGGTGTAAAAAGCAACGGAGCCTAAGAGTCTTGGGTAATATTCTGCAAATCAACACCAGACTTGTAAAGTACATCCAACACATGGCTTTCCTCAAAGGATCCTGGGAACTGTGCTGTAGTTGCCTCTTCACAGAGCTACAATTCCCAGCACCCTTAACAAATTACGGTTCCTGTGATTCTTTGGGGTGTGTTTTACATAGGCATTGGATGTACTTAAAATGTATGGTTTGAATCTGCTCATTGATAACTAATGGTGGGAAATGCTCAAATGAAATAACAGAGGCCTTGTTAGGGTGATGAAATCTAAGCTTAATAAACCAACATTCATGAGTCTTCTGGCTGCACAGTCCATCCTCACATTACCTATTCCCTGAGCTGTTCCAGAAATTCTTCAGTTAGCCACAGTTTCCTGTTGCCCGTGAAACAGGAAACTATGGTTACCAGGACTGGAATGAGCTGGGATCTTAAACCATGATATGAAATTAGTTTAAGATGCTGGGTGAATTGTGTACATACTCATTGCAAGTTTCGTCTCCGTCATGTCCAGAAATACACTTGATCATTAGGCATTCACAGAATATTGCACAAGGGGAAAAATATCAGTGTGAGAGGTATCTAGAGATAACCATCTTCCTTCTGGTTGATAGTTCACTTTACTTGAGGGACAATGGGGCAGCACTTCACCCACTGGCAACTAAAGTGGCCCAAGAGTTCTGGAGTCACAGATGTCCCATTCTCCACCTCTTTTGATCAGGGTTTTGTACTTGAGTATCAGAACCTAAACCCCAAAAAATAATGTAAGAGGTGGTCAAGGGGCTCCAACTAGGAATTTAAGAAGACAGCAATTTCCATCCCATCACAATCAGCACTATTTCCATTCTGCTACAATGTGGCTTCTGCTAAAAGCTACATTATTCGTTGCACTATCCACTATGTCTGAAGCTAAAGTTATTACAGTAGACGCTCGGGTTGTGAACGTGATCCATGCGGGAGGCACGTTCACAACCTGCGCACGCGCGGGTCATGATTAGGCACTTCTGCGCATGCGCAAAGCACGATTTAGAGCTTCTGCGCATGTGCGAGTGCTGAAACCCGGAAATAACCCGTTCTGGTACTTCTGGGTTCGGTGCGGTGCGCAACCCGAAAACGCACAACCTGAAGCATCTGTAACCCGAGGTATGACTGTAATGATATAACTAATGACGTTATTAACTTCAATGGAAGGGAAAAGTCAGAAACAATCTGTTTATTTTTTCTGTTTGCAGACTAAAAATCCAATGGTAGCAAATGCAGCCCATATTTGCCCACATAATTTCCATTCCTGACCTCAGGAAACAATGCAGATTGCAGCAATTTCCACTCCTGTTTCTGATCAAATTCTCCCGCATCCCTTCCGCAACTTATACACACTATTGTGTCACCGAACGCACAGCAGCCTGTGGTGTGCTAGACCTATACTGTGTCGCTTCCTTATCCTCCAGCGACCCACAAACCTTTGCGCACTGTTTCTCTGCTCTGCCACTTTAGAAAAAAACAGGGAGCACCGAGGGAAGAGAAGCAAGGCAGCACAGAGAACCACGAGGGGCAGTGAAAAACAACAGCAGGAGATGAGCTTATCAACCAGGAACAGTAATTTCAGTATTATGTATGTGCTGGGTGGAAGGAAGATGGAAGAAGCCTGGGTACTATTATAACCAGGGGTACTGGGCAGTGAGAGAGGAAGCGGGAGGCAGCATAAGTGAGTGAGGCTGTGAGCTCATTTTAAGAAGTCCCATGGGCTAGGCCTCAATTTCTGGCAGGGCTGGCTGTTCCTTCTGCGCCGCCGACGTCAATTGGTGAGAAGCTGCTGCCTCCTGATAAGAAGAGTAAATCCAGACCCTCATGCCGGCCTGCAGACAATTGCCGTGTATACGTTTTCACAAGGGACAGGGCATGCAGAGAAAGGCTTAAGGGGGCAGACATCAAAAAGCTACAAAGGGAATGGAAAAGGGGATTTATGTCTACGGTTGGTAGGTAGATCCAGAGCCAGCAAGACCGTGCGCTGCTTACAGGGCTTAAAACAAAGCCTGAGCTATTTGCTTGTTCCTGTTTAAAATGTAGCCTGACTTTCAGATCAAAGGAAGAGCGTGTGTCAAATAGGCAGGGAACAGCACAGACAAAGAGTCACCGGGAATAAATACCACAGGGCATTTCTAGATGATCAGTTTAAAGGGCAACAAATGATCAGTTGCCACTTGTTGTTGCACAGGACTTTGGACATCTTCCCTCAAGGAAGTGTCTTTCTTTTCAAAGTTGTTGCATTGTCCCAGAACCCAACCGACAATCAAACGAGTTTGGGGAAATACAATTCCTCCCTCACCTAGCAAGGCCTTTGCAAGGTGGAATGTCATCTGGAAAGCTGGTACAGTGCAGCTCAGGGTTCCCTAAACTTGGGTCTCCAGCTTTTTTTGGACTACAGTTCCCATCATCCCTGACCACTGTTCCTGCTAACTAGGGATGATGGGGGTTATAGTCCAAAAACAGCTGGAGACCCAACTTTGGGAAACCCTGTAGCACAGGAATAGGCAAACTCAGCCCTCCAGACTACAACTCAGCCCTTGAAACTACAATTCCCATCATCCCTGACCACTGGTCCTGTTAGCTAGGGGTGATGGGAGTTGTAGTCCCAAAACATCTGGAGGGCCGAGTTTGGCCATGCCTGCTGTAGCAGCTAAGAGACTTGACCATGGGGACCACCCAGAAAGTGGCAGGATGATGGAGGCAACGGTCAAGGACAACTCAAGAGGTGAATGACGAGATAGTGTTATTCATTCCATATATTGAAGCCCACTAGACAGATAGTGAGACCTAGACAGCATCTTAAA